TTGTACTTTTTCAGTTAAAATATTTATTACAACTAATCAACACGACATTCCTAACATTTGAACGTAAATTTTATACCTTTTCTATTAACATGTTTGTTAGAACTAATCAACATGATATTCTTAACATTTCAACGTAAATTTTGTATCTTTTCTATTAACATGTTTATTAGAACTAATCAACATGATAATCGTAAATCGTGAAGGGAATTTGCTTTAAAAAATCGATTTTATTTTACATTTGTACCTTTGGCCAATTTTCCAGCTATTTGTACTGCATATTACAAATCGTATAATTTAAAGCAGAACAAACAATAAAATAAACTTCTCTTTTTCATAGTTTAATCAGTTGATGGTGATGATTTATTAGTAAGGCGGAAATATAATTAATACTAAGGTTACAAATGAATAATTTATTTATTCAAATGGAAAATGAAAAGATCGTTCATTAAAAAAAAATATAAAAAAAGAATGGGAGTACACATTTCTCTGCTCTAAGAAACCTCAACGCTCTAGAAATCGTGGATCTGGGAATTTTATTAATAATTAAGCAGCTTTCTGAATTGTATACTATTGTTTTTAATATTGACCTGATAATCGGGGTTTTCACGCGCCTTGTTTCCAAGTGTGGTTTTGGTTAATAATTATTTAATGGGGATTCTCAAGTCCAATAAAAATTGACCCATTTGACAAATCATATGTCGATATTCCCGTTATTCCATATTTTCCACTGGCCCCTTCCTGGAATCGTACTGCGTCGGTTTACTTACAGGTTGATGGATGGGTCCACTCTTTTCAACGTCGCACCCGTGGGCGGCTAAGTCAATTTTAAAATCAGGTCCCGGCCTCTGGAAAGGCGTGGCGTTTGTAAAATAAAAACTTTCTTTGAGCGATATGTTGGACATGACGCGCAATCTGAAGGTGAAACTGCTTGTCGACACATCTGGGAGAAAATGGAGAATAAAGGTTGCTTTCGAACTTCAATCGGGTTTTATGTATAAATTGCTTTTAACAAAAAATCACAAATGAAAACGAAACCTTGAGGCGAACTGAGTGAAACTTCAGACTGTACTTACAATTTTTTTTTAAATTTTCCTATCCGCGAACAATAACACAACCGTTTGACAGTTTCGATAAATCAACTAAATTTATTTTAATTAAACTTTTTGTGATCAGATAATAAAAATAAAAGAGTTGTATTTTTTGTACAAATTTTATATTGATTTTTATGTTAGTTATGATTTCTAAATGCTTTTATTTAACATTGCAGCTCCAGAATATCCACGTTTTCAATCATCTAAGTTTTCAGTTGCTGTTTTTTTCTTAATCTCTGATCTGTTTTCGCTTCTTTCACGACGACTTAAGCAATGACGTATGCAAGTGAATATTTTTTTACTTTTGTCAGCTTTGATCATTCTCCCTTACAAAATTGGAAACGAACTACGTAACAAATTTCTACAGCCCATTCCGAAAATCCTTCTTAAATTTATAGATGGACATACTTTTACTAGATAAAAGTAAAATTAATTTATAATAGTATATTAACTGGGAGAAAAGGATTACTAAAATTTTAAGTTGGACTGGACTTAAAATTTTTTTATTATAAGTAAATAATATTTTGACTAGTTTAGTCATTTTTTGTTAATTATTAAATCATTGTATTCAAAATATTAAATGATTTTTAATGTTGTTAACTATTTAAATTAATTACACTTTTTATTTAAGGTCTTGGTTGAGATGAAAAAGCTAGTGTCACGAGCGGGACTCGAACTCCCGACCTTCGGCTCGATACGCAGCTGCTCTAACCGACTTGAGGTGTCGTGAGTTCGACCTACTCCGACACCAACTGTTCATCTCAACCTATCTTTCGAATTTCCCCTCGTTTTGCCATGTTAAAAAAAGAGAGAAATCTGAAAGTTTGAAGGTTTAGGTGAGGAGTTGGTGTTCGAGTGGATCGAAGTCAAGATATCTCAAGTGGTTAGAGCAGCTGCGTATTGAGCCGAGGGTCGTGAGTTCGATTCCCACTCGTGATACTAGCTTTTTCATCTCAACCACCACCTTGGATAAAAAATATATAATTTAAATAATTAGTAGGCCAATTATGATTGCTAAATTGATAACGTTGATAAGATAAAAACAAAATATTGAGTATGAATTTTTCCACACTAGACGTAATGTTGTAATTAATAATTGATAAAATAAATTTACACCCTTTCACTCTATTATTTCATCGAAATCTTCACGCTAAGACAGGAATTACTAAAAGTTGACTTTTATTGCTGTATTTCAGTCAAAGCCGCTCTCGTTAGGAAAAGAAAATTTATCATACGATTTGGAATAATTGCCTACGACCAAAACTCAAATACTAATTGGATGACCCGATTTGGAGCCCGGGAAAGTTGTTCAGCTAGTCAAACCATTTCGAAAAACATGAAATTGACCTAGGTTGGCTACAGTAATTACCGAGAGGAGAAATAAGTCGTGCAGAATTCCATGTGTGCTCTTAATTTATCGGGTCGGTCTTTCTCCCGGAAACGGTTCTTTTCTTTCCCAATTTGGCAACCTTGCTCGTTTCGTCTTTATCTGTTTATATGATATTCGCCCTGAATGACATTTCGCCACCTTCTGGAGATTTAAAGTCTTAGTTTATATGAAGACGCGTGGGCAATAAATAACAGACCCGACTCTCTTTTGCCACTTTCGCGCTCATTACGTTTTTTTAAATGTATTTTATATATTTCACTTAAAATTCCATATTTTTTTTATTCTTACTGTTAACAATGGTTATCACGTGCGTTTTATGCAGAGAAAGGCTTCTCGATCTTTCTCACATAATAGATGATTGGACATGCCTTGGCTCTTTGTAGGGAGCGTGTAGGCCTGCCGCCAAATTTCAGAAGTGTTCTCGGGCACAGTAGCGAATTTCTGGGTCCCCTATTCTGCTTTTTGGAGGACGTGGTTTTTTTTAAATTTTATGTAGTTTTTTCTTATGTGTTTTATTTGAGTGCGTGTATTTATTAGAGTGAGTGTAGAGGGGGGATGTTGAATTATATCGTTACAATCGCCCCTCCAGCAGTGGGTATGCTTACGGTCGAGAATCGATCCTAATTTAGATAAGATTATTGATATTGAATGCAGGTCGATGGAATACCGAATACACCGATTAATCAAAATGAGTGCCATGTTTGAATGTATTTACTTGTGTGACTGTATTATTGATATTAGTTAGTTTTAGAGTCTAGATTATAGTTTGCATCGTTGGGGCTGGAATTACCTAGATGTCGACTGACCCCGTTGGAGCCAAACCCTTTGTTGGGAAGCGACGTCTACTGGGCATATGGCGTAAGGAGATACCCAGCATCATAACGGGGTAGGGTCAGCACATCGGGGAGGGATAATACGCGAGTGAAAGTCCGAAAAATAGTCGCCAAACTTTAATCACTAGCCGTATTTTCAAACAGATGTGACACAATTATCCATTTTTTGCTTTTTATTAAGATCAATAATAACATTGATATAACATATCAATATGTATATAACATAAGATATGTATATATAAATAACATTGAATATGTAGGTATATACATATCTTATTTTTGGCCAGTTAAACGAGCTTTCGCCGTTTGGAAAAATGTCTTTGAGACTATTCTTGCAATTTTTGTTATGCCTCTTTCCAACTTTTCAAATAGTAACTTTTAAGTAACACAGTCAAAAAATTTATATTAACATATTTTTGAAGTTTTTTCGAAGGATCTACGGAAGAGGTCAACACAGGACCGTGATCCGTAGATCCTCCGAAAAAACTTCATGTTTTCAGCAGGTCGATAATCTAGCTCATCGTAACATATTTTTATTAAATTCGAAACAAAAATAGATTAAGAGCAAGTGATTTGATTTTTATCAATGTGCAGCAAAACGTAGTATAAATAAAATTCATCTTAAAAAAAGTAGAGTTTTATATTCCACAAGTGAAAATTTTAAATTGCCAATTTTCTATTATCATTAGTTTGTTCCTGTTAGGCATGCCTAAATTTGATAATCATTATAAATACACAATTTTAATAGATAATAATCAATATTTCAAATTTTTTTGACAAATAAGCAAGAACCGTTTTTCACGATTTCTGTCGTGAAACTATTCAAATGTCATATTAAAATTAATATTCCAACATTCTTTTTTTATAATGCAATGCTTAGAGGGTCAGCTTGTCCTCCTTGAATTTTATATATTATAAGAACTTTAGGATTTGATGAGAAAATAAAAGTTAATTTGCATAAGTACATGAACAATCCTTCCGATAGGTCCAATAGGAAAAAAAAACCTAAGTACACTAGGCCATTTTTTCGACTTTAAAATAATATGTTTTAAGGATAAAACTATTACAACTACAATAGATAATATGAATATAGTTGTATGTAAAAAACGCCAAACATACATGATGTTACATGCCATCCATGAGTCAAGTCATTGGCAAATGATCAATTATTGTTTGATTTATTAAAAAATAAATTAGTTTGAAACTAATAAAATATGAATATATGTTTACCATATACCATGCTTTTATGTGATTTCATAAACATGCAACTCAATAGGCGTGAGGATTTTTCCAAATTTTGACAAATATGAGTGTAATGTTTTTTATTCTATCGATTTCTAAAATAATTTGATTAAAATTATTTGTCTCTAATATTTTAAATGTATTAGTTTAATATTTTTATTTAAGAAACCTTTGTCTTATGTGGTTCGATATATTTGAATATTAACATGACTAAGCTATTTTGTTTATTTATGTTATATTAAGGACGACTTTGTTGATAGATGATAGTAAATTTAAACGATAAATAATGAGCAATTAATTAGCAAAGTATATAAGAGTTAATCATTTATCAAAGAGAAGTTTGAGGTTTTTAGAAATGTCATGTACATGCAATAGCAAATATTGGGTAAGTAGTGTGTCGATAGAGAAAAAAGTACAACAACAGAAAGTTAATTTGGTGATTACCTTCCTCCATTCCGAGGCTCCTTGGGATTTCGCTGAGGTTGGTCAGTTTAAATTGGAGGGACCTACTCTGCACGAATTTTGTTACTTTGTCCAGGATGATGTCGTCAAGGGCGTTTTCCTTGTCGTCCAAAGATCTGGGTAGCGATGCTTCGAGTTCAGGCTCGCTTACGGCGTTGTTTTCCTGTTGTTCCTCCCCGATGAGATGGACGCCGTCCAGGATCTCCAGATCCCTGGCCCTGGACGCCCTGTCAAGGGCGGATATGAGCTTCATTTTGAGGCAGGGACTCGCCTCGACACCGGGCCCCGAACACTCCTCGAAAACTCTGAGAACGAGCTTCATTTCGTCCTGGGCCGACGCGAAGGCACACAGGCCCACGAGCAAGAGAAACACTCTGGACATGGTCGACTCCGTGGAAACGATACTATTACGGTTACGGTTACGGTCAAGGTCTGGTCCATCCACCCTCTTCGCTCGAGCTTTTATACTTCTCAACGCCCCACTCCCGCCCGTGCTTCCCTTCGTCCTGAACTAGATCACCAATGTCTCTATTTGCAACGTTATTTCCACTCTTCTTATCGTCACTTTCAGAAAACACGCTTTCCTCTTTTGATTGTGGTGAAAAGTGTGCACTGCAATTTACTTTTGGTAGGAACTCCCACTGGTGACATTCCGACTGTGATCATCTCAAGGGCGTTTTCACTGTTTCCAAACTACAATAATTACACGAACCGAACGCACAATTCTTCTATGACCCCTAAATATAGTCACTTCGATGGATTAACGATTTAGACATCTTAATTAACCGGTTTTATACACGTTTTCTCTAATTTGTAAATTAAGTTTCTTACTTTGACTTATTTTCAATTTTTTAGGCCAGAGTAATTCCCATTCCCATGGCACGATTATACAAAATAAGGAGAATCAGTTAGGCCTTTGTCTCAAACTGAAATTATTAACAATAAATATTTTTTAGCTTGCTGCACACTGACAAATCTACATATTTTTATTAATATTTCATTTTCCTACATCAATTTCTTTTTGAATGATAAAACATTTGTATAGAGTCTATCTCTCACTCAAACTATCACTCTCTCTCTCTCTCTCTCTCTCTCTCTCTCTCTGACTGCCTGTCTGTCTGTCTGCCTGTTTGTCTGTCTATCTGTCTGTCTGTCTGTCTGACTGTCTGTCTGTCTGTCTGTCTGTGTCTGTCTGCCTGTTTGTCTGTCTATCTGTCTGTCTGTCTGTCTGACTGTCTGTCTGTCTGTCTGTCTGTCTGTCTGTCTGCCTGTTTGTCTGTCTATCTGTCTGTCTGTCTGTCTGACTGTCTGTCTGTCTGTCTGTCTGTCTGTCTGTCTATCTGTTTGTCTGTCTGTCTGTCTGTCTGTCTGTCTGTCTGTCTCTCTCTCTCTCTCTCTCTCTCTCTCTCTCTCTCTCTCTCTCTCTCTCTTTCGACCACTCATCATATGTGTTTGTGCTTTATACTTTCTAATTATTATATCTTATTACTTATTTGATGGCAATTGGTGGGTTGTTTTAGAAAAATCGGTATATACTATTAAGAAGTAAAAAACATTCAGAGTAAGAAGACATGAATAGAAAAATAAATATGATAAAAATTCAGATTTCATTCATCATTACGATTAATGAAAATAGCAAATATAGTTTATTCTGCGTACAAAAATGCAAAACATAACAACAACAAATCAATCATACAAGGTTAGTCGTAAAACAAGACAAAAGAATCTAAATGTGTGATTAAAAAAATGATTAAAATAATAATCTATCTCTATAAGTATGGTATGGTTTGGTACAATACAATGGTACATACCATAATACAATCGTTAATTTAAATCTGTAGCAATTAAAAACAAAAGCTAAACGAAATGTATAACAAATAAGAAAAATGAATAACAAAATATACAAATTTCTTCCTCTCCCTCTCGCTCTCTCTCTCTATTGATTCATGATTCATTCTTTGCCAATTGATTACTTCTTAATATGTCTTTCCTTTTTTAATTAACAACGTTGGCAGGCAAAAAGTATAGGTATAAAATCCTCCAATTTATTAATTATAAAAACGTCATCATAAGATATCTTTATTACAAGTGTTAGCAAATATGTCACTCAATCTCTTCTGTTCTCACTCAAGTGGTTTAAAAGTTCAAGAGAACTAACTTTCTGCGATTAAAAAATGTGCTCAATCACTCTCTCACTCAATTAAGTTTGTGTCTGTTAATTTCTCCCAATATATCAATCACTTTTGTGTGTGATTCATAATCCATTTACTTCTAAACATAAATAACAAGTATAAACTAATTTTGGCGTCCTTTAACAATGTTATACAACTCATTTTAATTGTCTCTCTGTCTCTCTCTGTCTGTCTCTCTCTCTCTCTTTCAAGATATATATCTATATAATTATTTATCTAACCTTCATTCTCTATCTTTCAACTATTTCACCCGCTCTTTTTCACCCTTTCTCTCTCTTTCTAATTCTCTTTCTGTCTCCCTCTCTCCCCTCACTATCTATCTCTTCTTATATATCTCACTATCTCTAAATATCTATTTACTTATTGATCACTCCTTGTTTCTCGTTCCCGTTTTCACTTTCTTCTTTTCTCTCTATCTCTTCTTCCCCTTCCGTTCTCTCTCTCTTTCTCTCTCAATGTCATTCTCTCACGTTGTTTTTCTCTCTTCTTTCACTCTTTCTTTTTTCTTTCTCTCTGTCTATTAAAATATATTGAACATAAAACATATGGATAACAATTAATCTATCGTTCAATTTCTCAATTTGTGTTTTGTTATATGAGGCATTGTCATTTTTTTCACAAACTTGGATCATGGATGTGTGTGGCCACCACTTTTCATATTCATTGGGATGATTCTGAAAAAATTTATTTTTGGGGGATTGATTCTTTTACAATATCACTTCCTGCGCTAGAGCGCTTACAGTGTTTTATTTAATTAATACTTAATTAAGTATATTGTCTAGAAGGGAGAAATAATTAATTGTATGAAATGAGGTGATCAGTGGCCGTAGCGTGATACTTGTTTTGGGTGAACGAGCGGGATTGTGGGTACAGGTAAAATAAAATGTAATTTTTCGGAAGTTAAAATTTAAAGTATATCTGTTACCATTGGAATGACCATTAAAAAAATATAAAACAATAAATTAAAAATTTAAAAATTAATGTTTAAGTTCGTATTAACAGTATCCCAATGATATAATTATTATAAAGTGTTCAAGTTATAAAAGTGGTAAAAAAATTACAAATGATTGTCTAAATCTTCTCAATGATTTTCAATAATTTTAAAACGATATATGGGAATGTCTTTGTTCGAGGGTTGAACCAAATCGAAAATATCAAATTTTATGACATGGATTGTACAAACGCCTTTTGTTGATCTCCTGGTTCTCATTCATCAATAATCGATTCCAAATCGACACAGTAGCAAATTATTGTAATAAATTAATTTCTCAGATTCAAGCCCGCATCGGACAGAGTATCTTTAGAGGATGTAAAAAAGGCTAAAAGACTCCTTTTATGAGACAACTCTCTAATCTCCATGGATATAAGTATTTCCCTGGAATTTCCCCTTTTCAGAACTTCCATTATTGGCGCCTTCACAATTGCCTAAGTAAGTGGCCGATCTAGTTTCGCCGAGAAGTATACAGCCTCACCAAACATGGAATAACCTTTCTCTTCGGCATTGTTCTAAAAAAAAAAAAAAAAAGTACACAAACAAACCATTCGAGACCCAGAATTTTACAAAATGTTGATTGTTTTTTTGTTTTATTGCATATAATTCAAAACTGTAATGATTATATATAATAAAGTAAAACGACATATAGTAGTAGTGGACAAAAGAAATAAAATTATACCTAATACTAATCATAGTAGCAATATAAAAATTAGAAAACGAAAAAACGGTCGATAATGATTCCATCGTTTAAATAAACAAAATAATATTTTATTTAATAGGAATTTTAGATTAATTATATAATTATACATACCTGACCCATAAAAAGAGCTTTTTTTTGGATATCCTCTCAATCACTTTTATAATATTACATATATATTGAATGTAATTTATTTGCGTGAAAGGAAGGGGTTATTTACCCCGCCCCGAGGAATATCGAGTACTCTGGGGTGAGTGAATGTGACCAGACTTTTCTGTTAGTATTGTATGTTGTTTATATTTTACTCTGTTGGAATGAATGTAATTTAAGCATGAAAGGAAGGGGTTATTTACCTCGCCCCGAGGAATATCGAGTACTCTGGGGTGAGTGTGTGACGTCTGGAGAGTAAAAGTAAGTTATTAGCGCGAATGGAGTGGGTTCAACCCCGCCCCGAGGAATATCGAGTACTCTGGGGGAGTGAATGTGACCAGACTTCTATGTTTGTGGCGATGTATATGTTATGTATTGTATGTTGTGTATCAATTCTTAAATTGACAACCTGAGGTACTAACAAGAGGCTAGCTTTTTAAAATAACGACGTAATATACAAGTAAAAGCAGAGAGTCAGTAACCAGATCGAGATGCTCAAATGGCTGCAGTTCAATACAAAATACGCGAGAAAGACAGGAAAGAGAAGGAATACATGCGGAGGGCCGGCGATGACCTCAGCTGTTTGTCGGCCCATAAACCTTCCACTTTATATATATATACATATATACTAAATGCGAATTATACATCGTATTTGAGAGAGAGAAAGAGAAAGAGAGAGAGAGAGAGTACAATTAAAATGAGTATTGTAATTATATTTAATTTATTGTTAAAGGATGCCAAAATTACTTTATACTTGTTATTTATGTTTAGAAGTAAATGGATTATGAATCACACACAAAAGTGATTGATATATTGGGAGAAATAAACAGACACAAACTTGATTGAGTGAGAGAGTGATTGAGCTCATTTTTTAATCGCACAAAGTTAGGTCTCTTGAACTTTTAAACCACTTGAAGAGATTGAGTGACTCATTTACTAACACTTGTAATAAAGATATCTTATGATGACCTTTTTATAATTAATAAATAGAATGATTGTATACCCATATTTTTTGCCTGCCAAGTATATCACGTTGTTAATTAAAAAAGGAAAGACATATTAAGAAGTAAGTAATTGGCAAAGAATGAATCATGAATGAATATGTTTTTTTTTAATGTCGAAAAATTTATACCGCGAACGATAATTAAGAGATAGGGATAGAGTTAGAGATAGAGATAGAGATAGATAGATAGGTAGGTTGGTAGATAGATAGATAGATACATAGATAGATAGATAAAGAGATAGAGATAGAGAGAGATGGAAATAGAGATATAGAGATAAAAATAGAGAGAGAGAGAGAGATGGAAATAGAGATAGAGAGAGACAAAATTAGAGATAGAGAGATATGGAATAGATATATAATATAAAGAGAAGATGGAAAGAGAGAGAGAGAGAGAGAGAGAGAGAGAGAGAGAGAGAGAGAGTGAGAGAGAGAGTGAG